AGCCTAGGGTTGTGTATTCCTAGGTCTTGTTTCGTGTTTTTTTTAAGTGTTTAAGAAATTGGAAAATTACAAAAAGATTTATTCAGTCGTGGAAGAAAGCAATCCTTTATGAAGTCCATGTCCCTATGGATAAATGGGTTCCGACATATGGAGATTCAACAGACCCAATTCAAAATGAACTTTACAAGATACAAAGATGGATGTACTTATGTGATGAGAAATACAAAAAAAGAACTCAGGTACTTCTCGCCGAATTAATCAAGAGATGGAATTGATTGAACAAAAGTACAAGGCCAAGATTCAAGAGCTTGAAGAGCCTTCTTTACCTCCTCAGAAGAAATTCAAAAATAACTCATCGGGAGATAAATTCTTTCAACAGGAGGAGAATTAATGTAGGCAAGGAGGGGGGGTCAAAACAACTTGATCCTTTTATCCTTGGGCTGCTTGCTGTTTCTCGGTTTGGGCCTTTGGCTGCTCTTGGTTGGGCTTTGGATTCTCTGGTTGTGAGCTGAAATTTTGAGATCTACTTGGTGCTAGCTCATTAATGTTTTTCTTCTACTTAGTCAGCTCATAATTTGGCTTTAATTCGGTTCATTCCCCTTGCCTTTAACTCTTTGGTTTTCCCTATGCTACCTCTTCCCCTTCTTGTGTCTCTTTGGTTTCTTCTTTGAGAATAAAAGCTAACTGGCTCTTGGGATTTCTCCCTGGTTGTTTCCCATAAATTCCCTGCCCCATTCCCTGTGATGGCTCCTCGAGTCCCTCTCTAGCTGCTTTCCCATGGATCTCTGGCTGGGTTTCCCGTGGCTTTCTCCTCCCTGTTTCCTGTGCAGTTTTTGGTTGCTGTTTTGTAATAAATGCTAGCAGTTTGGGAGCTGTTTTTGGACAGAATTTAGACAGCCTTTTGGCCTTCCTCTTCCCCTTAATTAATTGGTTTAATTAAGTTATTATGTGGCTGTTTGGCTCCTCTTTTGTGCCTATATATAGAGAGTTTGTGGTTGTTTTAAAAAGGTTGTTGTGTGCTAATTTTTGGAAAGAAACCTGAGAGTTTTCTTGGATAGCTTGCGAGCTATGTCACTTCTTACTCTCCTTCTTGGGAAAGCTTGCGAGCTTGTCCTCCTATCCTTCGTCTCGTACATCTAACCTCCTTCTTCTCGCCACAAGTGACCACCCCACATGTATCCTTCTTCTCAAACGATGGAGTTGCAATATTAGGTGTTTTATGGTTGTCAAGAGTTGTAAGGTAATTGTTTATGTTTGTGTTTGTAAGTGTCATAGTTTGTAAGAGTCTTTTATCTTATAAAAAGTTATATTTTGTCGTATTTGTGTCTTTTTTGGTATATTTGTCTAATTTTCTATTTCCTAGGAAGGTTTAGTTTTTGCTCGCAAAAATTTTGAGCTTTTCCCAAATTTTTGCTTGCATCAATTGGTATTAAAGCCTAGGGTTGTGTATTCCTAGGTCTTGTTTCGTGTTTTTTTAAGTGTTTAAGAAAATGAAAAATCACAAAAAGATTGATTCAGTCATGGAAGAAAGCAATCTAGAAGTTTCTGAAGTCCATGTCCCTATGGATAGATGGCTTCCGACAGATGGAGATTCAACAGACCCAATTCAAAATGAACTTTAGAAGATACAAAGGTGGATGTACTTATGTGAAGAGAAATTCAAAAAAAGAACTCAGGTACTTCTCGCCGAATTAATAAAGAGATAGAATTGATTGAACAAAAGTACAAGGCCAAGATTCAAGAGCTTGAAGAGCCTTCTTTACCTCCTCAGAAGAAATTTAAAGACAACTCATCGGGACATGAATTCTTTCAACCGGAGGAGAATTGATGTAGGCAAGGGGGGTGAAAACAACTTGATCCTTTTGTCCTTGGGCTGCTTGCTATTTCTCGGTTTGGGCCTTTGGCTGCTCTTGGTTGGGTTTTGGATTCTCTGGTTGTGAGCTGAAATTTTGAGAACTACGTGGTGCTAGCTCATTAATGTTTTTCTTCTACTTAGTCAGCTCATAATTTGGCTTTAATTAGGTTCATTCCCCTTGCCTTTGACTCTTTGGTTTTCCCTATGCTACCTCTTCCCCTTCTTGTGTCTATTTGGTTTCTTCTTTGAGAATAAAAGCTGAATGGCACTTGGGATTTCTCCCTGGCTGTTTCCCATACATTCCCTGCCCCGTTCCCTGTGATGGCTTCTCGGGTCCCCCTCTGGCTGCTTTCCCGTGGCTCTCTTGATGGGTTTTCCGTGGCTTTCTCCTCCTTGTTTCCTGTGCAGTTTTTTGTTGTTGTTTTGTAATAAATGCTAGCTGTTTGGGAGCTATTTTTGGACAAAATTTAGACAGACTTTTGGCCTTCCTCTTCCCCTTAATTAATTGGTTTAATTAAGGTATTATGTGGTTGTTTGGCTCCTCTTTTGTGCCTATATATAGAGAGTTTGTGGCTGCTTTAAAAAAGTTATTGTGTGCTAATTTTTTGAAAGAAACCTGAGGGTTTTTCTTGGATAGCTTGCGAGTTATGCCACTTCTTCCTCTCCTTCTTGGGAAAGCTTGCGAGCTTGTCTTCCTATCCTTCATCTCGAACTTCTAATCTCCTTCTTCTCGCCGCAAGTGACCATCCCACATGTCTCGTTCTTCTCAAACGATGGAATTGCAATTTTATGTGTTTTATGGTTGTCAAGAGTTGTAAGGTAATTGTTTATGTTTGTGTTTGTAAGAGTCATAGTTTGTAAGAGTATTTTATCTTATAAAAAATTATATTTTATCGTATTTGTGTCTTTTTTGGGTATATTTTTGTAATTTTCTATTTCCTAGGAAGGTTTAGTTTTTGCTCGCAAAAATTTGGGGATTTTCCCAAATTTTTGCTTGCATCAAGATTCCTTCAAGATCTAGTCTATGTTGCTTGCATGAGATCAAAGTCCCTAATTTTTGCAAAAGTAAAAGAAATATGTGTCGAGTGTTTCGAGTTTGTGTAAAGACATCAATTGATGGGGTGATCAAGTAATATGTCCAGGATATTGCTATGACTATCATAAAGCCATATAATTAAGCAATGGAATGGTTGAGTCGATTAAAATCTCCAAGCTATGTGAGCCCCCTTTGGCCATCTTACCTTATTTTCAACTCACGACTTGGTCCCACATCTCATGCCTGACCAACTCGATCAATCTACACATGAGGAGCAATCATCATATATGTAGCTTTGTTGATTGGGTTGGCCTGGTTTGCTAGAATGAGCCATCTAAAAGAAATCATATGTGGGGAACCATCCACCACTAATCAACCATGGTGTGGATAATGACTCGACATAAGGTAGCCAACTTGCCTATTAGCATACAACTGACAGTACATGGCTTCATGAGTCCATTTTGGACTGTTTAGAAATCTAAAAATTATCTTGTGGTACATGATGGTATTCATATTTAATCAATGCTTAATATAGTTATTCTTGTCCATAAGCACTCTTCAAATGGAGCTTGCCTTTTAGTAAGTGTCATATCCTTTTTATGAGGGACCGTCTATAAATCTTTTTTTTTGCTTTTACCACATTTATGGCTCTCGTCATTTCTATGGTCAGTAAATTTTACCTATAACTCATTCTCAATGATGGGCAAAATATACATTCAACATAATAAGAAATAACACAAACTCCATAGATTAAAACAATGCCTTGATATTTGTCATTAGCTTCATAAAGTGGCAGCATAACCCTCCCCCCCCCCACAAAAAAAAAAAGAAAAACAAATCTAAAATAACGCAACCATTCAATTATAAAAACCTAACCTCACTAGCTCCCTTATATTTAGGACCAGCCTCCTAATAAGTCAATGTCCTAATACATTAAAAGTCCTATGAACCAGAAAGAAACAATCTAAAATTTACAACAAAATAGCAAACCGAGAGAACGATGCAAAGGACTATACACCACAAGCCTACGACCAAGAGAGTCAAATAGGTGAACCTGGTAAACCAAAAAATAGTGGGGAAAGCAATATCTCTTCAATTGAATAAGACAAAAAATTAAAGCATAGCCAAATCAAAATAATTTTCACTAGTAGCAATCTTGGATTACAAATGGTCACCAATTCCCCAAAATTGGAGCGAATAAGTTTCCCAAATTACAACATAACCAAAAAGCCATGATCCATGTTGGAGCAAATTTAAAAAATAGAGGAGACAAGACGTTATAATTCTTATAATCCACATGACAGGTTCCTTACAAAGAACATGGAATGAGACTGAAAAAGAAGATAGTTTAGGCTTCATTTAGGATAACTTTTTTATTGTTTTTGTGGAAGGAAAAGTAGTGTATGTATGGATGACATCCTTTTTCATCTGTTTTCTAAAAAATTGCCTTAGTAAGCTATTTTTGGGAAAATATAATTAAAACTATGGTTTGGAAAGTAGCCTATAATAGAAAAAGCTAAAAATATAAGCCTCCACAAATGAAGCCACTTCAGTCATGCAGAAATTGTTAAAATATGCCTTTATCATTGTCCATGAATCTGAGTTTTGCATGAATTTTTTGACTTTCTCTTATTGTATTGTTTTCTATCCTACCAAGATTTGCAATTTCTATATACGTGGACAATAACTCCAAAGAATTCCCTTCTACTTGTTTGTAACATATTTTCACTTTGGTTCTGTGGATTGTGTTTCATAATTTTTTCACAAGGCATTTTTAGTTGAGGCAGTTCCTTGGTGTTTCTTGATACCAAAACAAAGGCCTCTTATGTTCCATCTTCTAGACCATAGAAACTTCTTGCAGGTAACATATAATCATTAATACGAAAACAACGAAAAAACTATTGCTTTTGGCTCTAACCTTAAGCCAACCTTTGCTTTAAACAGACAACATGTACAAAAGGCCACGCTAACAAGAAAATAAACCAACAATATGAAGTAAAACATTGATGCAAGAATGAGCCCTACTTCTTAAGGTATTAAGACACTTTCTACGTTCCTGTAAAAGCAGCATTTCTGACAATGTTGCTATATAGAAAAGAAGGAAGTCACCTCAGAATGATTGAGTTGGAGAATAGCACCAGCCTCAAGTAAATCCAAGGCATCATTGTATTTTTCAGCTGCTGCATACCTGGAATGAAAAAACAAAATCGAGCAGAACCAGATGATTTCCAATAATCAAATTTTACACGCTAACATCCAATAAAGTGAAACTGAAAAAAATGAGCAGATCATGCAGATTTGTCAAAACCGACTAATATGCTACATTTTATTTAACGCGATTTCAAATACGAAATAGAGCTTAGATATAAACAGGACAATTCTAATACAGCAATCCTTCCTCAAATTTCTGCATAACTAATCAGTAAACATAAAAGGTCAAAATATTTCATGCCATTAAAAATATGTTCTGCAAAACTGATCATTATTTATCATATGTATAAAACAGATTCTAATCCTGCACGAAATTTCTTCTGAAGTCCAATTCTAATGACATAAAATAACCACCGTGATAAATTAGGATATTTTCCACATCAATTTTCTTGTTTATTGTGATACAATACGCCCTAAAAACACGACAAAACAAATGTCACATGATCTTGGAAAATGCTATGCATAAGAAAAATGGGTTTAAGAACTATAACTCATCCTGCACCTCAATCCACACAAAATTCCCTCTTAATCTAAAATGGCATCAACGTATTTCATTCATCACTTTGCAAATGTACAAACGCACAAATACCTTGCGCTGTACGTCTTGTACAACTGCAAGGCCCCGTACGCATTTCCATCATTCACGCTCTTCTCTAGCTTCTGCATGATCTGAAATTTAATCAATACAAGCATCGTATTAGGTTTATTGAATTAATTTTGATAACGGGAGTCTAAAGTGACGCCAACCCTATGTTCTTCGGCCGATAAATAGATGAAAGAAAAAGGGGTGGAGAGATAAGGCATACCTCCTGTGGAGGAGGGAGAATTCCGCGACTGGCGTGTTGCCTCGTCATCCTCGACATCTCGGCGGCGGCCGGTGACGGTGAAGGAGACGGAAAGGACAATCGGGTGGAGAAGGAGCGGAATGGGGGGAAGAGGAAGAAGCAGGTTTTGTTCTCGCATGGACCGATTGCAAGGGGTTTGCGTGACGTGGCTGCGTGGTGGCCCGATCATGTGTCGGGTGGGTTCGGGTCAATCAGGAACTGATCCGACACAAGATTCAATCCCAATTCGGTCCATTTTTTTAAATAGGTCACTTTTCAGACCTAAACCTGACCCGCTTTCAGGCCCGGGTCAACCCGAAACGATCCGCCAACCCGAGTCATGGGCTTATTCAACCTCTGTCAATGGTGGGCTGGAGCGGATGGCAAAGGCGGAGGCAGAGGGGCGTGGATGGGCTGACGCGAGACTTGACGCTGCTGGAGTAGATGAGCTGGAGCGACGAGTTGGAGCAAGACTTGATGCGAATGGAGCGAAGAGCTGACGTGAGACTTGACCGGCTGGAGCAAATGAGCTGACACTATCAGACGACGATGGATGCGGATGGGCTAAGCTGATGCGAACAGATTGACAGGTTTTTGGGTCAAAATGGGTCAATTTCGGATTAGTCGAGTTGACCCGAATTTGACCCTTTTTTTTTCAAAAGGTCGAATCCTAGAACCTGAACACGGCCCGTTTACAAAACGGGTTGACCATAACCCGAAATTTTTGGATCGGGATCAAGTCAGGTTTTCTGGTCGTGTCAAATATTGACACCCCTAGCCCTTTGTCAGTCTTGATTTTGACAAAAATAACGTTGCAGAAGGAGACAGCATTTTATTATTATTTTTAAATAATTTTTATATAAAAATTTTTTGAAGACAATAAAAAAAATATATGCCAAAAAATGTACAAAACTAAACCTATCTATGTAAGTAATGATTTTAGCCAAAATTTAATAGCTCTTAAGCTTATTTATGTAATTTTTTTCTTTGATTTTGCTGCAATATTTTTAGGCTAATTGATTGCAATTATTAATAGTGCAAAGAAAATTAAATGCGTGAGTTTTAAATTTTTAATATTTAATTAAAATTTTAATGATATTATTGGGATTCAATATTTAGTTCATTTTAAATGTATTTTGAATTCGATCAAAGTGAAACAGTCCCAAACGAAGTCTTATAAGCTAACATTCAATAAAGCGAGAAAACAACAGGAACAAAAGAAGCATATTACTCAAAAGCACCTAATCTACTAAGGCTATATTTGGAACAGCTTTCTTACTGCTTCTTAAAATAACTTTTTATTACAAAAATTTTAAATTTTTACTGAAAACTACTTTTGAATGCAGCAAGAAATCTGTCCCAAATGAAATCTAACAGTGACGTATATGAAAATTAGAGTGGGGGCATAATTAGATGTTATGGTAGTATGAAGTTGATAATATGTTGAGGTATGGCTATTTTGTGGGCAGTCAGATATGCATCAAATATCAAAATAATATATTATATTTAAGTGTTCTCAATATTGCAGAATATAGGTTCTCTTATGGTGCTAATTATTTTAGATTTTATTTGGGACGACTTTCTTTCTGCTTCTTGAAGCAGCTTTCTTGTACAAAAATTTTTATTTTTGTACTAAAAAGCTGTTTCAAGAAGTGGAAAGAAAGCCATCCCAAACGAAACCTTAAAGTCTATAAGAAAGCTCTAATGGTAGAATTTTTAAAATAAGAGGTGGCTTTAGTCAAGGGAGAGATGATTAGGTAGATCATGTTTATGTTGTGCAATCTGTCCTAGTGATATGTCATAGTGCAAAATATGTAGTTTAATATTTTGGGTCTATCCAATGAAGTTTATTTATAATGTATCTTTATTTGAATGTGTCATGTAATTTTTTAAAATTATTCTAATTATTTATTTAGATTTGATTGTATGCTCGTATATAACTTAACAGTGCCTAGTAGCTAGTTAGCCAGTCGCGACGAAGAAACTCCCAACTAGTGGGACCCAGAGGCAAACTCGCATAATGATTTGTGGGCGCTAATGTGAGGCCTCCAAATTCAGAGATTTGTTCGAATCCAAGTGATTCAATTTGGTTGGAAAAGGAAATTATTTGAAATTTTATATTTTGAACCAATTTGCAAGTGTTTGAGAGTACTTTGGTGCATGCAAAATAGTTGAATGTGTTCTATGATGGGTCCCAAAGGTTTGGAATATTTTTTGGCAAAATCTAAATAATGTTACTATTTGATCGTCCCAATGTTGGGCATCCCAACACCCAGCGCCTCGGCACTGCTACAATACTAAGTGCCAATTAGTTACTATTTGGTTCATGCAAAATGTTTGAACGTGTTCTAGGATGGGTCCCAAAGGTTTGAAATGAATTTTTGCAAAATCTAAATAATCTTACTATTTGAGCGCCTCAATGTTGGGCATCCCAATGCCCCGGCATTGCTATAATACCAGGTAGGGGTGTCAATTTCGGGTCACGGGTCGGGTTCGGGTCGAACCCGAAACTGACCCGGCACTATTCGGGTCAACCCGAACCCGACCCGTTTTTAAAAACGGGTCAGTTTCCTTGACCCAAACCCGACCCGCTTCGGGTCCGGGTCAACCCGACCCGACCCGAATGACCCGTTTTCAACCAAAAAATTGCTAATTTTCGGGTCAAAAACGGGTCAATCTCCTCTTTTCGGGTCAAAATCGGGTCAAAGTCGGGTCAATCTCGGGTTGGCGTGTCAAAATCGGGTTTTCGGGTCAAAATCGGGTCACTTTCGGGTCAATTTCGGGTCAAAGGGTTAACCCGAACCCGACCCGATTTTTGAAACGGGTCGAAATGTTGAACCCGAACCAGACCCGTTTCGGGTTCGGGTTGACCCTAACCCGAAATTTTCGGGTCGGATTCGGGTCGGGTTTTCGTGTCGTGTCAAATATTGACACCCCTGATACCAGGTGTCAAATAGTTAGTATTTGGTGCATGCAAAATGGTTAAATGTGTTCTAGGATGGGTCCCAAAGGTTTGGAATGAATTTTGACAAAATATGAAGAATGCTACTACTTGAGAGCCCCAATGGTGGGCATCACCAGATGTTTGACATAATCTTGAATTTTTAGATTTTTGAACTAGTGTCGTAGCGTTCAAAAGTAGCGCCTCAACACTAAGATACTAATAGCACTTTAAATATACTTTAAAACCATCATTCGATTCATTTTTATTGCATGCAGCCGGCGTTGAGGAGAGAGATTGTTTGTAGAGAGAAAATTTTCATTTTGAGAAGCTTCTCGCATTTTTTAGCCATTGAGCTAGTTGAGAAAGTTGTTCATATTGTGGTATGTTACGTTTTACCTATCTCAGTTTTCAAGAACTCTATATTTTTGAAAAAAAAATTATAAAAAAATATATATATTTTTGTTACTGAAAAATGATGATAACTTTCTATTTTTAGAACTTTCACTGTGTAACTTTTTATATATTATAGAGATTGTGATTACAAACATTTTGAATATTTTCTGAAAACTTTTCATTTCGTATTTTGGAATTTGTACAAGTTTTATTGAATAGAAAAAAATCGGGACTCTGAAAAATGGTATTGTGGTGCGATTAAAGTCTTATAATGATATTTTACATAATCTTTGATAATTTGATTATGTTTGAAAATTATACATTTTTGCATAGTAATATTTATGTTGACTAATATTAAGATAATTTGCTAATTTCTAAATTAGTCTAAATATACTTTAATCAATGGAATGCATAAAAAAATGTGCATAATGGTGATAGAAATGTGAGAAAATGTGGCGTGATGTGATGTTATGCCGACGTCACTAAGCAACCAAAGTGTAATTCTATTATGTCGGCGCTGGTGCGCGACCGATGTGAGACTCTATTATGTTTGAGTTTGTGAACGATCGAGGTGGAATTCTTCTAATGAAGAATTGAAATTTGGGCTTGAGAGGCATTCTAATAAAATATATGAAATATGTGCATATAATTTAAGAAATTTTATTATAACTTTCGAAGTTATTTAAATGTTTAAAATGCTTGTATGAAGTTTAGTTTCAATTTAAGTTTCAGCTTTTCGTACAACACTTAAGTTACTAGTTCAGCATTTTTCAGTTTTATGATTTGGATTATTGATTCTATTTTAGGCTATTATAGCCTACTGTTGAGCGGTGTTAGCTCATTCATACTTTTTCTTCTATTTAGTAGGCTATACTGCTAGAGAAAGGGTCAAAAGCAATTTGAATAACTTTGGATATCATGCTCAAATTTGTTCTGTGGGCATGCCCTTTTGATTAGTTTTATTTTGGCAAACTTGGCTTTTGGTTGATTATTTTCTCTATTGTCAAGCGCCGTTGTAGATAGACCTCATATTGTACATATATTTTTAGATGAAATATAGAAATAATTTTTGATATTCATTAGTCTTCCAATTTATATTGTATTTCAGTAGTGACTCTGTGTAGTATATAAATTGAAAGTTTAGTTTCAGTACTTCTCCAATTGGATCTTTGGTTCAGTATTGCCACTAACAGAATGTATGACCTGTATGGTATCAATTTATATCAGGTTGGGTTGTCCTCACTCATGCAAAGTGGGGTACGCCTCCAATGATCACATCTCATCCAAAGCGGGGTATCCTCACTCATGCTCATCAAGCATGACTACATGAAAGCGCATACTCACAGAATCCTTAGCTTGTCTTCCTATGGCCATCCAACCTAGATCTCCCCTTTCCTGCAACAACATCTCACTCCCTCTCATTTCGAATGCTATTTGAGGCCTTCAACACAAGTCCTTGACAACCTTAGCAAGCATGCCTGTATTAGGATCCCTCATCTCAACACTTTATGATGGAGCATACTCATATTAGCCCTTGGATTCCTATAAATGAGAGGTAAAAAAAAAAAAATTGAATCATTTGATTGAATGAGATTTTTAGCCCCTTGGATTCCTATAAATGAGAGGTAAAAAAAAAAATTGAATCATTTGATTTATATATCATATTTTTATTTATATAAATATAATATTTAAAAAAAATTAATTTATACCCTCTTCAAAATTTCAAAAATTTAAAATATCTCTTATATTTAATTATTGATAAAAACTTTAAAATAATCAATCTGTACTTCCAATTATTAAATATGAAAAATAATATAACATCAAGTACATGACTTTCTACATTGATGTTTTGTCATAAAAAAATTCAAAGGGGGAATTTAAAATGTTATCCTATCACAACTAACATTATGACAAAGTTATATATAATCCCTTAACAAACTAACGTGGCTTCTCCCCACTTCTTATTACTATATAAAATGTCATTAAGCTAATCATGCAGAGCTTTGATTAAATTGCTTATGGTCCTACTTTTATATACTTTTTTATTATTAGGGCCTAATTAATTAACAATTAGCAGCCTAATGCTCATTTAGAGATTATTTAATTAGTGGTGATATGAATGGTAGAGTTAGTTGGCAGAAGAAGCGATATTGCCTGACATGACATGACAACATCTGGATTGGATTAAATTTTCTTTTACTGATAAATAGCTTCATGATGATCAAGATATTATCACATTTATAAAAATGATTAGTTTTTTAATTATTTTTCAGAAATTATTATTTTGGATTTGTATTATAATTATTGATATCACAAAGTAATTGTTGTATAAAAGATGGAAAAATAATTTCTATGATTTAATTGAGTTATGAACCTTTTTATCAAATTAGAAAAGTATGGTATGTAAATTTAGGCTTCGTTTGAGACATATTTTTTTTCTGCTTCCTAAAACAGCTTTCTAATAAAAAATTAAAAATTTTGTATTAAAAATCTGCTTTAAAAAGCAGTAAGAAAGCCGTCCCATTTGGGATTGCTTTCTTTCTTCTTCATAAAGTAATTTTATAGTACAAAATTTAATTTTTATATCAAAAAACTACTCTAAGAAGCAATAAGAAAGCCGTCATTGACTTCGTTTGAGATAGCTTTTTATTGCTTTATACAACAAATTTTTAATTAAAAGAAATATCTTATTGAAAAGCTGCTTTTAAAAAATAGTAAGAAAGCCATCGCAAACGAAGCTTTAATTATGAGCCTTTATTTTTATATTTGCGTCAACAAAATTATAATTGAAATTATTTAGAGTCGAATCATAGTGAAATATATAGCGATTGTAACATAATATAATAATCAATTAGGTGAATCTACATACAAATCTTATGCATTTTCTTATGTTGAACCTCTTTTCTTTTTACATGCTTTTTCATTAGTTATATTTAAATCAATTTGGTCTATTTTTTAACAACAATCATTAAAAAATAGTTATATTCAAAATTAAAGATCTTTATATCATAATTTTTTAAAAAATTGAGACTAAAATTTTCTAGTTATAAGACGTTATCACTAAAAAAATATTAAATTTATGTATTAGTGCATTCTATGATCAAAACATTAAAAAATAACATTTCTAATGAATTTTTATATTTGGTTGAAAATATGATAAATAAAAATATAAGTTTATCAGCATTATGAATGATCAAAATTAAAAAGGTGTGAATAAAATTACCCCTTTAGTAGTTTTTTTTTTTAATTTTTATTTTTTCGTGAATTCTTTCACCATTTGCAACATTGAACACAACTCCTCTTGATCTCTATTGCTTACAAGTTTTGGCTACCAACTAACATATATTGAGTTGGAAGCTTGCATATGTGATGCATGTATGAATTTAATTTTAGGCTTAATTTGTGGCAGCTATCCTACTTGTTTTATAAATCAACTTTTTAGCATAAAATTTTTTAATTTAAAAATTTTTATACTAAAAAAATTTTTAAGAAGCAGTAAAAAAACAGTCGCAAATGAAATCTTAGGCTTCGTTTGGGACGGTTTTATTACTGCTTCGTAAAGCAGCTTTCTAGTAAAAAATTAAAATTTTTATACTAGAAAGCTGTTTTGAAAAGCAGAAAAAAGCCATCCCAAACAAAACTTTAATCAACTCAAAAGTCCCCCAAAAAAAAAACTTACAATATTGATTATAGATAGGGAAAATAAATAATCATGAGGTGGAACACATAAGTTGTTGATAAGTGGGTTGAAAAGCTGTAAGCATTTGATAAATTTGATGTAACTTGAGAGAAATTTGAGGGGTGAATTCAAAAAGACAAATCAAGGGTTGAAATGTGTGAACATGAGAGATGAAGATAACCCTTTTCCAACAAAGATTTGAGTCAAAACGTGCGTATTGAGAAATGGAGGCCAGAGATGAAGGTGGGACCATTTATTTAGTGGAGGGGGCCCACACGCCAATATGATTGATGGGTATGATTGTATTAAGTCACCTTCATTTGAGTTTCTAAAATATTTATTATATTATTTAGACTTCGTTTGAGATGACTTTCTTTTTGCTTCTTCAAACAACTATTTAGTATAAAAGTTTTAATTTTTATATTAAAAAATTATTTTAAGAATAACTAAAAAAGTTATCTCAAATGAAACCTTAGATAAAAATAGAAGGCCTTCAAAGGGGAGAATTATTATGTCTAATGACCGGACCGTTCGGGCACCAATCCAGACGAGCCACATCACCAGATGCACTGGGCCCCGGGTGTAACTGGGTGACGTGGCATGTCTGGATTGGTGTCCGAATGAATCCGGACATCGGATGTAATAATTTCCCCTTCAAAGGGGGCATAATGATGTGGTCCAATGTAGATGCAATCGATGTACAATTAGAAGTCATAATTTGAGTTATTTATAAGGAAAAAGTGTATACCACCTTCATGATAATTTTCTTGCTCAGATGAATTGTCACTCCTAAACTAATGTCATTGAATGGGTGTATAATAATATAATTGTTGCGTCCTGGAAAATTCGCGGCGGCAGAGAAATATAAAGATTAATGCCTTAGCTTTGTACGAAGATCCAGAACACAAGCAGATGAATAGTTGAATTTGCTATGTTATGATTATTGTATTTATCATGTTCAAACCTATTTAATTTAAATCATATTCAATCATTATTTGAGCAATGTTAGATTGAGTTTATAATATTAAATCTAATATGATCGTTGTCTGAATTAGCATCGTTATGTTGCACATTGAACAAAACATTATTCAAATATACTTTGGAATCATTCTCAAACCTTCATAAAAAAAACTTTTCAAATAAGAATTTGATTAGGTTTTGAATAATTTTCAATCATGAATCCAAATTTCATTGCATACAGTCTCAATCTTGATTGAATTTCATTTGAATTTTATTTAAATGTCACAAATCAATTTTGATCACAACGACCTAAAAATTTAATCCGTGATCTTAAGTGATGATATTTTAGTTTAAATGAAAATTTTAAATATATTGTCCTCAAGAATGAAATAAAGGTCTAAGTTCTCCAATTTTGAGTATTATGTGACATAAAAAATCAAAATTATCATTGATAGCAAATATTTATAAAAGAATAAAGCTTTGATCTTTAAAAAAGTTGCATAAAAATAAATAAAATAAATCCGAATATAAAATCATTTGATGAATATATTCTCCCATAAGATTCTTTAACCAATTCGATAAATTTCTGTCGAAGCATGAGTGACCCTGTCGGTTGTTATAAGGACTAAAAACCCTCCATCCACCGCCACTTCAAACCCCTCTATTTTCTCCCTTCCTCAGCCTCTTCCTCTTTGACTATCCCTCTCCCCATCTTCTCTCTCTTTCTCTCTCAATTCTAATCATTTTGCAAGCTGAATCCGAAAAATTGGCCAGTTCATGATCCGAGAAGCTGGAAACCACCATAAAAATTCCTCCTTTCATCCCCTCTCCATTCATAAAAGTCCGATCTTTGTATCCGCCATGGCTAAAGAATACAGAGCTTGGTCATAATAAGTTGGATAGAAAAAAGGAGATCTTTGATCATACGAAAGATGGATTTCAGAAGACCAAACCATGACGATCATGGCAATCAAGAGATGAGCTCTGATCGTCCTCCAATTCACGAGTCAACCTTCTCCAAACCAGCGCTTCCTTCTCCCTCTTCTCTCCTGTCCGCCGGAGACGCCGGAGACCCTTCTCCGGCGTCGGTGAGTTACCGAGAATGTCTCCGTAACCACGCGGCAAGCCTCGGAAGTCACGTCCTCGATGGCTGCGGCGAGTTCATGCCCGGCGCCACCGACTCCTTGAAATGCGCCGCCTGCGGCTGCCACCGAAGCTTCCACCGCCGGGAAAGCCAAAGCTACCACCTTTTTGACCGCCGCCCCCCCAATAACAGTTGCGGCAGAATCCCTCTCCTCCTCTCGCCGCCGGCGCTTCAGAAACAGATCCAATCATTGGGTGGCATGGAGTCATCGAGTGAGGAGCTCGGCCTGGCAACTCCGCCGCCGAAGAAAAGGTTCAGGACGAAATTTACAGAGGAACAGAAGGAGAAGATGATGGAACTTGCAGAGAGAATTGGGTGGAAGATTCAGAGGCAGGATGATGCTAATTTGGAGAGGTTTTTTGCTGAAATTGGAATTAGCAGACAAGTTTTCAAAGTTTGGATGCATAATAATAACAAGAATTCTGTCAGAAAACAGCATCAGTAAGATCAGAATCTGTGCCTGAATCGATTAGTGTTGCTGAACTTATTCTCTTTGAGCAGAATTTGGAAGAAAAAAATCACTTTTTTTATATAATTTTTGGTGCATTATGAGTGCTCTGACTTCTACTAAGATGAGATTGCTGCTAGGACTTATTTAATTGTTTGTTTATAGATAGACAATATATTTTATAAAGTGATGATTGAGTTGTAAGTTGCAACTCAATATTATATTTGGCAATAATTTTAACTCAAAATAGAAAAAAAATTCTCCTCAGTCTTATTCAGTGTTAAATTGAAATTCTTCTTTTTTAGCATTGCCTTAAAATATAAATTTTAACTTAAAACAAATAAATAAGATCTAAGATGAGAAAATTTATTTTGTGCGGAAGCCGAACGTTCTTTCAGAGACCAACAATAATGCGCCATATCAGCGGTATCAAGCCGGATACCGAGCAAGAGATGACGTGACATATTCTGATTGGTCTACCGATATCGATCATCCTCACAAAATAATTTCTCCTAAGATAATTGAGATTTCTCTATGTAGACTAAAATTTTAGCCATTTATTCTTGAACAAGAAGTATTAGAAAACAATACAAATCAAAATTGTCTTCTTCTTAACTTCTAAATTAATTGTCAACAAAGGTATGCCAATGCCATTTTTATTTTACCAATCTTTCTCAAACATCAGTTTCATAAAAGAGAGAAATTATTCCGTGCGGAGTCCGGATGGAAAGACTCCACACGAAATAAAGACTCCATAAAAGAAGCATTCATCTCCCAAAAAATTCAAACATTGCATCGCAAAATTTGAAGCCTATGATTTTATTTTGTAAATGAATTTAGTCGGGCAAATTAGAGTAAATTTTAAAATTATTAGTTAAATAGAATTGTAAATAAATCTAGTAGAGAGAAACACAAGTGCCCTTTATTGAAATTCAGTCTTTTTTTTAATTTAATTTATTTTTTTATTAATTTTCTTATTAAGCTTGAGCTGCACTTGAATTTTAATCGCATAATTAATTATATTTTTAATAATTACATAAATATTTATTATTGGAGATAAATGATTTTATCAGTTTTAAATTAAAATTAATATAAATACATATATCCATTTCTACAAACTCTCCTTTTGTCCACCGCCGATGCCCCACGCCGCCGCCGTTTTCCGATCGCTCGTCGGCATTCCGGTCTCTAAATCTCAGAAACCCTCGAAAAGAGCAATCTTTAAATCTGAAATGGATCTCCACCTTACGAAGCCCGACGACTGGCATCTCCATCTTCGCGACGGCAAGCTGCTCGAATCCGTCGTGCACCATTCGTAAGCCACGGGCCTTTCTCTCCACGCTCTTCTTCTTCTTCGTCTTCCCCTTTCTCTGTTAGCTTTTTGGTTGTAGGGCGAGGCATTTCGGCAGGGCAATCGTTATGCCTAACCTAAAGCCTCCAATCACGACGGCGGCGGCGGCGGTGGCTTACAGGGATTCGATTCTGAAGGTTCTTCCTCCTGATTGTGATTTTGATCCAATGATGACTCTTTATTTGACGGATGATACCAGACCTGAGGAGATTAAGCTTGCTCGTGAGTTCAAAAATGCCTTTTTTTCTCCCCCTTTTTTTTGGGGAGGGAAATCTGATGCCTTTTGTATGGTGTTTTCAAACATCAAAATCAAACATTTTTTTATTTATCTTAAGTGAAAGTTGTAGTTTGTGCTTCTGCTCAGCAATTTCCTCATTGAATTTGAATGATTGTTTGTTTATTGTATGACCATTTTGATATTCAGGGAGTAGTGGAGTGGTTTATGCTGTGAAATTGTATCCTGCTGGAGCAACTACCAATTCACAAGATGGAGTAACAGATATCTTTGGAAAATGCTTTTCTGTTCTTGAGGAGATGGTCAAACAGAACATGCCATTGTTGGTAAGCTTACTCAACTGCACCTAAAAAAAAACAAAACAGCTTTCATTACTATTTCCTTACATAAAATGTAGCTTTATTTACTAATAGTTGGTTAGGATAACTCTCCAAAATGTACAAAATTCATTTTACAGAAGATAATGAGATGATGTGCATGAATTTTACAGATAGTGAGATAGGAGAACAGAGAAAGTCATCACTAGATAAGGAGAAGAAGAAACTTAAGTTGGAGTATTCAGAGAGGCCAAATGTATAAAAAAAAATACAGCCACTTTGTAGTTTTATTGCAAAAGTTATATGCTAATCAGAGAATGGCTATAAGCCTTTGAAGTTTTACTAGAAATATCATATTTATAGTCTAGTTTATATGACATATCACTAATCATGTCTTTTTATGGAGAGATTTGATCAAATTCATGAAGAATTTGCACATCTAATTTCAAATTGGGAAATTCTCATCAAGTTTGCATTCTGTAACATCCATTCCAGAAGCCAGGAATGCCGCAAACAAGTCTATTAAAGCTTTTTTTTTTTTTTTTTTTTTCTTTTCTAAATGCTTTCATAGGTTCATGGAGAAGTTACAGATGCAAATGTTGACATATTTGACCGCGAGAAAGTGTTTATTGAGACAATTTTAGAACCACTGGTTCAAAAGCTTCCACAACTAAAAGTTGTTATGGAACATATAACAACTATGGATGCTGTTAAGTTTATTATGTCAAGTAGAGAAGGTGTACTTTACTGTGATGCTATGATTTTCCTTCTTCACTGACCTTCTGCTTTCTTTTTTCGTCGAAGTATCTTTGACCGCCTGCAAGTAAAAGTTTCTTCTTCTACAGGTTGCATCGCCGCAACAGTTACACCCCAGCATCTTGTGCTAAATAGAAATGCTTTGTTTCGAGGTGGTTTGCAGCCACACAATTACTGTCTACCTGTACTGAAAAGAGAAGTACATAGTATGTTCTCAACATCTCTGTTTAGATGATCAAGATGATGGATTTTTGTTACTCAATGTTTTGCTCTATGATTATATTCTGCAAATTACTGTTTGTTTTAGCCTGACCCATATCATATCAGACTAAGGCTTCGTTGGGGGCGGCTTTCTTGTTGCTTCTTAAAACAGCTTTCTAGTACAAAAATTTTAATTATTGAACTAGAAAGTTGCTTTATGTTTCGTTTGGGACAGCTTTCTTCCTGTTTCTTAAAGCGGTTTTTTAGTACTAGAAAGCCGCTTTAAGAAGTAATAAGAAAGCCGTCCCAAATGAAGCCTAAACCTAATGTTTTTTTCCCTTTTCTTTTATGTTTCTTGGATATCATCCATACAAAATTGTTCCACTACAAGCACACTTAACTATAGGGTTCTCATAAAAAAATTAACCCATAATATCAAAATTTTAACTTACATATTATAGCCTAACCTTTACTATAGCTAATATTATTTTCTCCAATTTTAATATGGGATTTGGCTCATTACTTCACCCTTATTATCTTAGAAGTTTTTCATCCTAGTAGCATGTTACGATCCGCTTTTTGTTTGGGTTTCAACTCCAGTGATCACTCCCCAACCTTTTCCAATGACTATTTGAATTCGGGATAACATATACTCCTTGAGCTTTGAGTAACATTTTTGCTATGTTTTTTTTAAAAAAATAAAATGCAACGTGCAAAACTGTAATGATGAAATATTACAATAATAATTATTGCAAGTTACTACTATAAATGTTTAGCTACTAAGGTGGCCTATGTCAACATGAGTTTGAAAAAAAAAATAGTAATCAATAATCCGACAACAAGAGGGAGTTTGTTGATTTAGTTGGTCTGGTTGACTGATTGTGAAGCACTGGTGCTTCTGCAAATGTGTCTATATATAGATAATAAAATAGAGCAATAAAAAAATAACATCAAGTTTGTATCCTACTATGTGGGTTGGCTATATAAATCATTTTTCTCTATTGTGTAATATTAAGAGTCAATTTTTTATTTAAATCTAATAAAAAATGTCATTTTTAATACTATCTAACAAAGTCTTTCTAGGTCCATCTTTTTTAATATAGGCTAAATCTAATACATCTACTCTCTTAATCAGGTCATCGAAAAGATGACGATTTATGTAACCAAACCATCTAACGTGACTCTCTAATCTTATCTGCTAATGGAGATCTCCAACCTTTTCACATATATACTCATTTTGTATTTTGTCTCCAAATGTCAAATCGCTCATCCATCTGAGCATCCTCATCTTTGCAACACTCAATTTAATTTTATGATTCTTTTTTAATGGCCAGCATTCTACATAATAAAGCATTGCAATCTCACAACTTTTTTATAAAATTTTTCCTTAAGTTTGAGGGGTACTTTTCTAGCACAATAAAACAACAAAAACAACAAAAACAATATCAAGCCTTTGTCCCACTACGTGTGGTCAGCTACATGAATCCTTTTTCGCCATTGTGTTCTGTTAAAAGTCAAATTCTAATTTAAATTTAATAAAGAAAGATCATTTCTAATATTTTCTAACCAAGTTTTTTTAGGCCTACCTCTACCTTCATTAACATAAGTTAAATCTAATACCTCAACATTCCTAACCGGGTCAACGGAATGCCTCCGTTTAATGTGACCAAACCATCTAAGGTGATTCTCTCTAATCTTATCTTCCACTGGAGCTACTCCAACCTTTTCACATTTATGCTCATTTCGTATCCTATCTCTAAGGGTAAAGCCACTGATCCACCTAAGCATCATCATCTCTGAAACACTTAACTTAGTATTATGCTTCTCTTTTAATGGCCAACATTCAGCACCAAAAAAGCATTGCAAGTCTCACCACCATCTTATAGAATTTTCCCTTTAGTTTGAGGGGGGCTTTTCTATCGCACAAATAAGCCTAATGCATTCCTCAACTTCAACCATCTAACTTGAATTCTGCTAATATCTAAAACGTGTACTCTTATTAATGACTTGATCGCCCAAAGTCACAATCCCCTCACTAGTTCTATTGCTACTAAAATTACACTCCATATATTCAGTTTTAGATCTACTCAAGCGAAAACCTTTAGACTCTAAGGTTGACCTCCATAATTCAAGTTTACTTTCAACCCCATCTCTAGTCTTATCAACAAGAAGAATATCATCATCAAAAAGCATACACCAAGGTACATTCTCTTGCAAATGTCTAGTGAGAACATCCATGACTAAAGCAAAAAGATATGGACTTAAGGCTGATCCTGATTTTTCTAGCACAATAATGATATTATATTATAATAATGACTTTTACACTATAAATGTCTTATGCATGTGACAATATAGATGTGGTAACACTTAAACCATCCTAGTGTTTGCTGCATTTGATGGAATTTATAGCGCCGCGCCCCGCCCAATTTGCTCTTTTTCTGTTTAAATATAGATATATGAATGAAAGATATCTTGTTAGATTGATTAAGAAATAATAATCTGATTTCTTTAGAACTTTCACTGTATACTTGGGATACAGGGCAAGCCATTGTATCAGCTGTAACAAGTGGAAGCAAACGGTTTTTCCTTGGGACTGATAGCGCTCCCCATGCGAGAAATCTTAAAGAATGTACATGTGGATGTGCAGGCATTTATAATGCTTCTGTTGCATTATCACTTTATACTAAAGTATTTGAAGAGGTATTGTAACTTTATATTAATTTACCTTTCTTTAACTTTCATAAAACTTCTGAAATATTACGACCAGGATGAATTCATGTAAATCTGATTTACATTTAACATTTTTTACTGCTTTAATAGTCAAATTTATTCGAAGATTTTAATCTGTAGTATTCATATCATGTGCATTTTTCTTTGTCCAGGCTGGTGCACTTGACAAACTGGAGGCATTTATGAGCTTCAATGGACCAGATTTCTATGGTTTGCCAAGAAATTCCACAAAAATTCTAATGAAAAAGAGCTCATGGAGAGTGCCTGAATCATACATGTTCACATGGGGAGAAATAGTTCCAATGTGTGCTGGCCAAATGCTAGACTGGCTCCCATCTGATTGTTAACGGAAATATGTTTTATTTTATTGATTTTGTTGCTCTTGTCATATTTTATCGATATTTTTTCTTGATGCTTGTCTATTCAAAATTTTTTTGAACTAAAATTTTTTGCATTAGAAAGCTACTTTAGAAAGCAGCAAGAAAGCCCTCCCAAACAAAGCCTAAACCTATTTTTGTGACCATTCCTTGCTATTTATGAAACTCCAATCAACAATGATGTGTTGCCAAATAAAATGAATAATTATTTAACAGATATATATTAAATTAAATTAACAATAAAAAAATCCAATACTTATAAATGCACGCAAGGCTTTAACTAATAATCTTATCAAGGATAAGGGCATTTAGGTTGCATAACAACATCTATTCAATACAAAAAAAATCAGTTAGCTACATAAAAGAATAAAATACATCGTTAAGTCCACGAAACTGACCTGGAAGCAGAAAAAATGAGTAGAGCCCAGAGATGTATGGTGCTCCATTGTTCTTGCAAAGAATAGAAGTACATAAATTTTAACAAAACTTTTCCAGTAAAATTGTACTCCTTCCTCTAATCTTCATCTCTATCAGTATCATGCCGAACACTGAAATTCACAAGCTCTTCATTCCTTAATTGATACTTTATCAGTATATTCATCAGCAAGCTTTATCCTCTTATAATGCTCATCTACCTTAAAGTTCACCATCTCCCTGAACAAATTAGAGTCCAGAACACAATCTGTGCTACCATAGACTGTGGCGCGAATACTAGCAATAAGTTTTGCAATCTCCCTTCCAGAGAATCCATGAGTTCTTTTAGCAGCTTCTCGAATATCTTCGTCACTCACATCCTTCAGAACTATTTTCTGCTGCTTCTTATTGAAATGAGACCTCCATGAGGATGATTCATCTCCAGATTTAGAAGATATGTATTGATTCAAGTAAAGTTTCAGTAGTTGGAAGCGTTCTTCTTCACCAGGAAGTGGGAATTCAATTACTTCGTCGATACGATCTGTAACTGCTGCATCTAGATCACCAGGTCTGTTTGTAGCAAGGACGAGAACTATATCTCTGGATTGATCGCCAGTTCTAAAGAGCAGCGCGTTCAGAGCACTCCGCTGAGCTTCGCTCATGTGTATATTGTTTCTCCTGTGAAACAATCAGATTGGTATAAATGAATGATTTTTATGTTACATAAACATTTTCTAAGTAAAATTTGAACTTGCACATCAAGCCGTATTAAATGGTAAAAGAACAAGCTATGTTTATGCAGGAAGATTTCCAAGGTATCGAGGTAATTCAAATCTTCATGAGGTCAAAAGAAAATAGCTTTAATTAGTAGACTGGTCACAAATGTCAACAAGGAAGCTTCTCCCCACTGTAATTTGTTATTCATGCAGAACTAAATTGTTAACCTTTTGATTCATTCCCAATGAATTGCTTATAGCTTCTGCTCAGAGGAAGAGAAAAGAATAGGAAGCACAAACTAAAAGATAATACATGTGAAATGATGATGGTGATAAGGAAAAAAAGGAGAATGCAGGTCGGAACATATATTCATAAAGAGAGTGTAGGTTGGAGCATATCTTCATGAAATATAGAGCTGGAAGGAAAAGACAGTCCTCCAATCAGCATTTATAAAAAAATCTTGGTCGTCTCTCTTGATTTGAATAGTAAAGAATAGGCTATTTTACAAACTGGCAGAAACAGATATTCATAGAACAGCCGGGGGGGAAGCAAAATATTTGCATGGAGGTTTTCATAAAAATAATCCCGGTAATGTGGCTCAAAATGAACTGCAAACAGTGGGCACTATTAAGAAACAGTATGGTAAAATAAATATCAATTAAACTCTGCGTAAAAGTCTATAGACTAAAATTGCACAGCCCATTAAAATCGGAAGCACAAATGGCTTTGCATACAGCTCTCTGCACAGCATTTTCCACCATCTCACATGCATGATCACACATACTTGATGCTATTCGTTCATCTGTCTGTTAATCTTCTCAGACTGGCAAGCACAATTTGACATCTGATTAAGGCTTCGTTTAGGACGGCTTTCTTTCTGCTTCTTAAAGCAGCTATCTAGTACAAAAATTAGAATTTTGTACTAGAAAGTTGCTTTAAGAAGCAGAAAAAAAGCCGTCCCAAACGAAGTCTAAAAGGGAGGAAATTACCAATCTCCTTTCATAAAACATGCATAAAACTCTTCATTCATAAATAGCTTTTGCTCGGCTCAATCATTAAATAAACCAAACTTAAACAAATATTTTGAACTAATCTTTTTAACGAGCTGAAAGTAGACAGATTATTTATCATGTTTGGCCCATTAACCAATTGAATATATATATATATATATATATATATATATATATATCATTATAATATTTTAGCAGTTGGATTAAAATTCAGTGGCTGAGATCTAAGAACTACACGTTCAAATTCAACTGTTGAAATTTAATATAATTTAAGTCAGAAATGAACCTCAAGTAAACAAAACACTGAAGATAAAATGTTCAAAAATGAAACATGAATCAAGTTTGAGAACAAAAAGGCTAATAAGATGAGTAAGAATGCTGGCCAAGTTCGCTAAGGTTTCGTTTGGTTACCCAGTGCCTTTTCTAAAAGATAATTTTAAAAACTTTGATTGAGAGAATGGAATTGTGAAACAGAGAAGCCAGTATTAAAAGCTTCTGAAAACAATACGTAAAAAAATAATTTTACAAAAATGTCACATTCAAATTTCAAACAACAACTCAAAAACAACTTTACCATTTCAAAATAGAAATGGCAAAAATAAGCTGCCTCAAACGAGATCTATATGTGAGAAATATAAAATCATGCTATTTGGCAAGTTTCATCATCACATTCAGCAGCATCGTAGCCTTATTCAAAATATTTGGAGTACAGCTTTACCTTGACGCCAAGTTTACTACCTAAAATTATGATTTCAAATTGTATCTCTGGAGTTGTGAATGGGAATCATCTTGAAAACTATAAAAAATGATATGGAAAAACGGGGGGCATAATTTATATATAAAAAAAAAAACTCACTCGCACAGGAATGCATCAGCCTCATCAATGAAAAGCAGTAAGCCCTTTCTTGATTTTTTTGCCCAATCAAAAATTTCATGTATCTTCGTAACAGCTTGTGGACCTAAAGGTGCTACATCTCCTCCCGTCATCATTGCATAATCTAGGCCCTACAAATTAAATGCAGAAGAAGATTCAGAAAATGAGACGAGACCCAAAGCAAATACTGTATCAACCTTTCGAGAACAACAGTCATAAAATTAAGATGTAAAACTAAGAAGACATTTAAGATCATTTTTTGTTTTTTGTTTTCATTTTATTTTTTGATATTATGATTTGAAATAAAATATGCTAGAAATATAGCCGACCCCATGTAGTGGGATAAAGGCTTGATGTTGTTGTTATTGTTATATTGAATAAATTAATATGTGGTGCTTGACTGGTCGCCATTAGAGGTAACTGATGGTGGATAGAGGTGGAGGTCGGCGACGGCCGCTGGAGATGGTGGTCGACAATATTCAGCGATGATGCTTGGAGGTGGAGACGGGCAGTGGCTGTAGGTGTCCATTAGAGTGGGTAGTTGTGATAGCTATTTTTAAAAACACTCAAAATACTTAAAAAAATATTTTAAGTATTTTTAAAGACAATTTGATTTATTTTAAAACAAAAAACACTAAACAAATATGTTTTTAATAATAATAGAAAAATAAATAAATTAAAAATAAAAATAATCCCAAATAGGCCCTAAGGTACAAGATATGTATGTAAATTTCTGGAAGACACCAATAGCTTATACGGATGGCACCTAAGCTCTTAGTAGTTTTATGGTGGGAATTAGTTCACGGCCTAATTCAAAGCATTGACTGCAAATAAATAGAAGTAAATAAAACAAATAAAAAGATGCTATAAATTTTTATACAAATTTGCTCAACTAATTACAAATTTCTATTTCTATAGTTGCAAATTTCACTATGAAGATAATAATAAAACGTTATTATTGCAATTTAATCTTATATTCTCTGCATTTATTTTCTAAACTATTTAATCATAAACCCTTAATGCTACTCCCCTCTCCTCAACGATAATGAAAATCTAAAATAACTAAAACTACATGTGAAATTTACAAAACGTCCTTAAAGGAAACAACTCATAATAATAGGAGAATTTTTGGGGGCTTTGTCCCAGATCCCTCGGGAGAAGGCTTTTTAGCCCAGTTCAACTCCCAGGTTGATCCCCGCATCTGAGCTCGCAATCGTGTTTGCGCTCGTTCGTTCGCGGCTCGCACTAACAGCCTCACCCCTTCGCCTCACGACTCACCCACTAGCAACCTCGCTCTCGCCTACTCGCCTTCTCGCTCGACGCACGCTGCTCTCGTGGGTTAGCAGGTTGGGTCAACCTGAGTTATGTGTGGGTCAGGTATTGATGTATGCAAGGGGGGGGTCAACACAAGTTGAATTTTTCTTGTATTTTCTTGCCTTGTGTCTTTTCATCTTCCCCCTCTTCTTTTATGTTATCTGTCCTTTCATCTTCCATTTGTCCTTTGGATGTTTGTTGGTTTCATGAAGGCATTGGCTGTTTTCGGTTTGAGCTTATGTAGTTGAAACTCTAGTGGTGCCAGCTCATTAATATCTAGTGGAGGAGTAGCTCATTATGAGCTGATGTTTAGCTCTAAATTCATTATGAGGTGTAAGATATTAGGTGAGTGGAACTTGTCTCTTCCTCTTCCTTTGCCTCTTGAGCTGCTGCATTATTTTTCCCTCTTTAGGCTGTTGGAACCGTGGCCTTCATGGTGCTTTAATGGTGGCTGTTGGTTTCTTGTGCTTGGCTGTTGGAACCGAAATTCCCTCCTTGGATTTGCGGTGCCGTTTGGGGTTTCACT